AAATTCAAAATCAGCATAAATTCACGGTTCGAGCATATGAAACGAGCAATATACATTATTATTTCCTTAGACAAAGTAAGAGACAGCAATTAAAAGGGTCAAAAGAAAAGCATACCCTGCTTCCAGAAGTACAGGAGTTCCAGACCACTTGGCTCTAAGAGCCACCTGCACATTCTTAGGCCTGCGGTTATCCGCAGAAACTGAATGCCCAGGTAGGCTGATACACACAAGTACAAGGATCAAAAAGCAAAATCCAGATCTAAACCGGGTCCTCATAATTGAATCTTGATCGAATTCAGCCTCCCCTTTTGAAGATTGGTGATCAAAGCGTGTCCATTTATAAGGAAACAACAAAAGATTGAATCTTTGATGGGTTTTTTTCCCGATGGCTCTTTGGGACAGTGTTTTATTGCAACTGAAAGAGAGTGGGCTTTTAGCGGAACGTTTCCAGTGCAAATCGAAGTTTGAACCGTGGCCGCGTGGTAGGGTTCACCCGATGCTGTATTCCTCTCGCTCCTCCTCGTCAAATGGTAAGGAAAGATTGCACTACTGGTCCTTACTTATCAGCATTATGACAACTTGGTTAGCACTTCTCAACTTTTTATGGCACCATCCTCAACTTTTGTAATATTACGATTATCAAATAACAATTGTCAACTTAGTGAAGTATCGTGAATTTTTCTTCCCTTTTTTTCTTCTTTAACAATTACTCACATACATGACATTCATTCTTGACATCAAAGTCCTTGTTTACATCATGTTAATAATTGATCAAATCATGATTGATCTTCTAAGATCCGAAACTTAGCTTATACTAGTAATCGAGTGATATGACACACTATAATAGATTATGAGAGATAATGGTTGATTACAACACCTATTGTAGTATGTCACGTTAATTGATGTTTAGCATAAACTAAGAAACGCTACTTATGGGATCAATTATGTTGATCCAATTACTTTTTATTTACATATTTCATAAGATTTACAAGTATTAGTTACTTATTTATTCTATGTATATATAATTTAATACTTTCAAACATGCTTTAAATTAAATGGATTAGCAACCCACTTATGCAACACAAACTAAGATATTAAAGACTAATATACAATAATTCTATAAGTTGGAGACTTGTGCCACAATTTTCCCACTTTCAGAAAATAATTGCCATTGGATGGGTATTTTTGTATTTTCAAGTAGTACACTTGGGCAGAGCAGTAAATTACTAGGTCTGGCCCCATATCCGTGTCATCAATCTGATGTGTCGACATTTAATTGGTAGTTGACTTCATATCCTGCTTAGACCCAAAACGGTCTGTTTGGTTAGAATGGAAAAGTGCGGTCAGTACTCATTGCTCAATATGAAAGTGGACCGTATAAGCAGTAATTCAGGCTAACTAGCTAAGTGCAACTTTTCTCAACGCTTTCTATTGAACTTTAAAACGCTCATGTCCAATCGGCTGGGTGTACAAAATCCCAACTCAGAGACCTCTCACAGAGGTTTCATACATGGGTGGGATTAGAATTTTTTTGGTCATTTTTTATTACGTCGAGTCTCGCAGTGGGATCGATCCTTTGTGAGACTTCTAGTTTTCTTCTAGTGAAATTACCACATTGTTACATTGTCTGTCAGTTTGTCATCAACCATTGGAAAAAATAGATGGAATTGATGGATGTGGAAGAAGGATATTCACACTTGAAAGTTGAAATATTTTAACATTTTTTTCATCATGTCATCAAAGATTAGCAGCTAGTCAGAAATATCATCACTACTATATAAAAAGGGCAATGTTTCACTACTATAAAAATAACAGTAGATTCTTTCATTTTGTCTCACTGTAACTTTTTTTTATTGAGAGAAAACAACGACGTCGTTTATCTTACGTGTTTGATACAGTGATTTTATTGCTTTTCCTCAATTTACGCGACGTTGAGGATTATGTCATAGAGCTCTCTTTACTCTTTTTCCATTTTTACACGCTACAGTTATGTCTCTCTATTTCTCCACACTAATTCAAGAGTAAAAGTGTGAATTCCATAAATATACGATTGAAAATATGTTTTAAACAAAAATAATTTTTTAAAAAATGAAGACCAAACATGTTAACAAATGAATATATTTATTTTTCAAAAAATAAGTTTTTATTACCATTTCATTTTTATCGTGAAATGATTCTAATCTTAATATGTTAGATTGTATTTCAAAATTATATAATCTAGCAAATATAATTTTTTAAAATTAATTTTTATAAAGTAATATGTTTTTATGAATTTTTTTTTTACAGTAAAGTAATGTTATGGAGGTTCGGAAGCATAATGCCTCCATTAAACGGAGGCTCATGTTGAGGCCTCCGTTATTACGGAGGTTCATGCTTGAGCCTCTGTAATTCTGGAGGCCTCCATAATTATGGAGGTCTTACTATATAAAAAGGACAATGTTTCACTACTGTAGAAAGAATGGTAAATTTTTTCATTTTATTTTACTGTAGCTTTTTTTTTTCTTATTGAGAGAAAGCAACGATGTCGTTTATCTTACGTGTTTGATACAGTGACTTTGTTGCTTTTCCTCAATTTCGCGACGTTGAGGATTATGTCATAGAGCTCTCTTTACTCTTTCTCCATTTTACACGCTACAGTTATATTTCTCTATTTCTTCACACTAATTTAAGAGTAAAAGTGTGAATTCCATAAAAATATATGATTGAAAATATGTTTGAAGAAAAATAAATTTTTAAAAAATGAAGACCAAACATGTTAACAAATGAATATATTTATTTTTCAAAAAATAAGTTTTTATTACCATTTCATTTTTATCGTGAAATGATTCTAATCTTAATATGTTAGATTGTGCTTCAAAATTACATAATCTATCAAATATAATTTTTAAAATTAATTTTTATACAGTAATATATTTTTATGATTTTTTTTTTTAGTAAAGTAATGTTATGGATGTTCAAGCATAAGCCTCCGTAATGCCTCCGTTAAATGGAGGCTTATGTTGAGGCTTCCGTTATTACGGAAGCTGTTGAGGCCTCCAACTAATAAAAATACAATAAATACAAAACTCTTACAACGCATGTGTCAAAGACTAGTTGTGAATATTACAACGTGACCAATGGGATATTTAACCTAGCCACTATTTGAAAGCAATTTTTCACTCCAAAGAATCAATTTTTTTACCGTTATTTCACTATCTCAACCGTTAGTTCATTCTTTTGGAAAGGGCAAGAGTGTAAATTCAAACTTAAGCTACTCATTTTATTTTTCAACTCGACAAGGACATTTCGATTAAATCAGTAACACACAAGTTGAACCAATGATTCGTTCATTTGGTGCATTGGTCTTGTCAATTACGGTGACTATATTTCAACACGAAGAGAAATTGACTGTAAAAGTAATGGAAACGGGACATTCTTTGAATTGTTGTTAGATTTTTAATGCTTTCAATTAATAATTGTCTAGATTTGTAATTTTCATTTTGTTCGAAAGGAAAAGTGTAGGAATGATAGTACGTATTAACTATTCTTTTAAGGTTCGATATGTAATAGACATATGGTCATACTTTGCGCAATCTTATTGATTGCTCATGTAATTTAATGAATTTTCATATATTTGCATCCTTCATAGAGTTACATGAGATAATCAATTTAATATTACTCGAGAGATATTATTTTTCATATATGCATTTAAACATAATATATTTAGTGATGGTCAAAAGAGAAGTAATTGAGGATTCAAAAGTCAAAGAGACAATTCCTAAGGGAAATGTAGTGAATGCTACGTTTGGGTTGAATTTTATATTTTTTATTTGCACGTAATGAAAATACTTTTGTTTGACTTAACTTATTTGATTAATATTGACAATTCTTTTGTTTTTTGGGTAATGAAGATATTATTTAGTGCAATAATTTGATTTGTTACTTGTACAATATTTTCGTTCATTTTGTTTTTCAAAGAAGATATAATGACGGGGGACATTATCATGAATGAACTACAAATAAATAAAATTACGACAGCAAACACTTGTAGTAAGAACATGTACTCAAATTCCCAATTATTATCATTGGTTCAACTCGCGTGTTATTGATTTAATCGAAACGTTGTTGTTGAGTTGAAAAATAAAATAAAATAAATTTTTAATACATTTAAAAGTTAAAGTGGATCATAGTTTGAAAAACAATTCTAATATCTATACTAGGATTTATAACGGACTCAACAAAAGCTCCTTCCCTCTCCGCATAATCGATCTTAGCTTTTCGCATTCACGACTCTAGAAATTTTTCCGGGGGCTCCCACGTTGGAGATTGGCGAGGTGGGTGCAGCATTAGTTTTTTGTCATTAATTTTGACATTGGTTGACCACGTCTCTTTCTCTTCCTTGCCGTCACCGTGTCCTTTGCACCATGAAATTGCTAGGAACCTATCAAACTTGGAAAATTTTACAAACTAATGACAAATTTAATTATGACAAGAAAATAAGTTAGTCAAGCCATCTCAATCATGATACTCAGCTAGTAAGGTGCGTTTGATTACAAGCATATAATTTGTATAGAAAGAAAACAAATTCTATACAATTTAATTACTTATAATTTATTTGCATGAAAATTGTCAAATAAATATGTTTAATTGATTCAACTTTCAATTTAAAAAATATTATACTTGTTTGTTTTATATTGGTTGGTAAACAAGAGGGAATGAATACAGGAGAATAAGAAAGAGAGAGTAAATTTTTTGGAAAATAAAATCATATTCTTCTTTAGAAAAATATTTTTTTTGATTTTGAGAAAATATGATCATGTGAAAAAAATCAATTAAACAATACAAAAGTAGAAATTTGGGTGAAAAACACATTTTCATGAAAAATATTAACAATTAAATGAACCCTTAAAGTTTTCTTGTTAATTTTCTAGAAGGAAAATGAAATTTGCTTTTACGAAAGTAAGATTAGTTAGTAAAATTGTAAATTTGAAACAATACTTGATTGGACGAGGTTTGATATTTCTTAGACGGGATTCAATTTTCTTGTACGAAACTTCTGAGAGTGAAGTTTGATTTTTCAATTCATGGAAACAATGCAACACCACTCATTTTTTATTTCCAAATAAATTGGTGGAGGCTATTCACAAACGCACAAAGCAGCTCAAGTCAGCGTTTTATGATCATGTCCTTTCACATTTTGAGATGAAGGGATTCATCTGATCAGTGTTTTTTGTTATGCCCACAAGATGTTTGTTGATTTTTCTGCTAGATTTATACCTCTTGTTTGTATCTGTATTTTCTTGCAAAATTTAGTCTTGTCTTCTCCAATAAGCACATCTCAGTGTCCTATGAACAAAGCAGCTCAAGTCAGCGTTTTATGATCACGTCCTTTCACATTTTGAGATGAAGGGATTCATCTGATCAGTGTTTTTTGTTATGCCCCCAAGATGTTTGTTGATTTTTCTGCTAGATTTATACCTCTTGTTTGTATCTGTATTTTCTTGCAAAATTTAGTCTCGTCTTCTCCAATAAGCACATCCCAGTGTCCTATGAATTTCAACTATGTTCTAACAATCCATTGGGACTCATCTGCCTGCAAAAACAATGGAGAAAACCCTGACTTTGATGGCTCTAGCAGTTGTTGCCAGACTCTTATCAGCCTTTATGGCATTGGATTTGCCCAACACCTCAAGCAGACGTCTCAATTCCGCCTTCCTGATCTCTCCACTTCCATTTCTTGCCTTTCTGATTTTCAAACTAGGCTCAATTCTCTGTCCCTCAATGAAAATCTCATTTCTATGTGTTTTGAACCTCATCGTTTCGTCAACACCACTAACATATGTGCCAATATTCAAACGAAGCAGGATTGGCTCGCGGCTTTAGGACCCTCTACTTCCCTAGACACTGGTTGCAGCGAAGACCTTTCTGACCTCACTGCCTGTGATGCATGTGTTCATGCTGGTTTTCAGGTTCAGGCACGATTGCTAGCAATCGATGGCAATAGTTCTCACTCGAAAGGTTGCTTTTACTACGCAATTCTATATGCTGCAGGAATAGTAAATAAGTTTGGTCCTGAAAGTATCGGTGCACTTACCTGCATTTTTGGACTGCCTTTGTCCTTGCAAGCAGTTTCAAGGGGTACGGTCGAATTGGCTCTGATATCTGGATCAGTTGGAGCAGCTTTTGCCATTTCGATCGTGTTATGCTCAATAGGTTGCTTCATCTGGTGGGAATCGTGGGATAGTAGGAAAAAAAGGCAGGAAGTTTCAGTAGGCTTTTCAAGTTTGGAGTCTGATGCAGATGATAATAAATTGCTGCACTGGGAGCCCCAGATCGGGTCAACCTGGTTCAAGAGTGATGATCTTGACAAAGCAACCAAAAATTTTTCTTCCAAGAATTTCATTGGGGAAGGTCAGTTTGGAGTTGTTTACAAAGGGAAATTACCCGATGGAACCATGATCGCGGTCAAGAAGATCATAGATTCAGATTTTCAAGTGGACACTGATTTTATCCGGGAAGTTGAGATCATTAGCACCTTGAAACACCGAAATCTAGTGCCCTTTCGAGGCTGTTGTGTCTCGAGAGGAAGTAACTACAACGAAGAGGAGGACAAGAGATACCTAGTCTACGATTATATGTCAAATGGAAATCTACACGACCACTTGTTCTTCTCTGAGAAAGGTAAATTCAAAAATGGAAAGAGGCCACTTACTTGGCCTCAGAGGAAGAGCATAATTTTGGATGTAGCAAATGCACTAGCTTATCTTCACTATGGAGTGAAGCCACCTGTATATCATAGGGATATTAAGCCCACAAACATACTGTTAGATTCGTACATGAGAGCACGAGTTGCAGACTTTGGACTGGCAAAACAAGGAAGTGAAGGCGATTCCCATTTCACTACAAGAATTGCAGGAACTCATGGTTATTTGGCTCCAGAATATGCTTTATACGGTCAATTGACAGAAAAGAGTGATGTTTACAGTTTTGGAATAGTTATTCTGGAAATAATGTGTGGAAGAAAGGCTCTTGATTTATCATCACTGGAAAATCCAAACACATTCTTGATCACGGATTGGGCTTGGTCGCTAATGAAAGCCGGTAGGGTGAAAGAAGTTTTTGATCCTTTCTTGTTGGAAGATGAGGGTTCTGTAAATAGATATCCGAAAGAAATAATGGAAAGGTTTCTTCTGGTTGGACTTTTGTGTGCTCATTTGATGGTGGCTTTAAGGCCTACGATACTGGATGCCCTGAAAATGCTTGAAGGTGATACTGAAGTTCCTGTGATTCCTGATAGGCCAATTTATACTCATGAAAGTGTGTTAATATCTGCGTTGACGCGGAAGAATCCTTAACCGAAGTCGGGGAAATGTGTTTTATTGATTTTTTTTTTTTGGCCTTCTGTACATATTTCTTGTGTTAGCATAGAGTTTATGCATAATGAACAAACTGCTGTCAGAATTAAACTTTCAGAAACCTTGTACACCATTTAAACTACTAGTTAATGTCAATTTAGAAAGTGGATTTTGTGCTTACTTTATCAACTGATTTGCCTGGAAAAATTTGTTAACAATTCTCGTGCATTTATCATTACTTATATATACTTTTCAAATCTGTTGGGTGGAACAAGACGACTCCTAACTTCAAAGATTGGATCCCTCATATGATGGATCGAATATCATAAAAGCTTTAGCTAACCTTCATTGGACACCAATTAATTTTTAAATGAGATAGTTGATATCTGATCATACAAGTGGTATTAGAGTTAGAGTCATGAATTTAAATACAAGAGCATCATGTTAAGGGAGGGATTATTATGGGGTATAACAAGGCCGCGCTTATGCCCGTGAACTGGATCACTCAAATAACGGTGATTGATTGCCATAAAATGTTATGTTTAGCGTGTCTTCAATGGATATTAATTTTTTTTCACATGAGATAGATTAAATCCAATCCTATAAAATCAACAAATATGACTAATAAATGCCCCCAACAGAACGCCTGGCTTCAATTCTTCTATTTGAAACACTCATTTGGACAGTCCCCATTTCTACACAATCTCTCCTCTCTGCAACATCTCTATCTCATGGGAGATCCTCCAAAATCACTAACACCAAATTTTTACAGCATTCTTGGAATTCCAAAGACAGCTTTCCTAGCAGCTATTTGCAGAGCCTACAAGTCCCTTGTTATGAAATGGCACCCTGATAGAAATCCTTTCAACAAAGCCGAAGCTGAAGCGAACATCTGATCCATTAACGAGGCCTATAGGGTACGTTAATTATTTCTTGCACGCAACATAAATATCAACCATTGCATTAGTATCTAATTTTTCGACACTGAATTCATTTCAGGCCCTCGGCCTTAAGAAAGGGGAAGAAGCAGATGCAGGAAGTCAGAACAAGACGAAGAAAAAATCTGATGATGATGAAGAATTGCACATTTCTAGCCCCACACTTCTTTCACGCACCACAAGCAGGATCAGCCCAATGCCAAGTCCAAAAGATTTGTCACACAGTACAAGCCAGGGAAGCACAACTACATCAACGGATTCCTATGCTTCAACCAAAATCTCCTACAGGGGCTAGCGACCTTTCAGCCCCGACTACCCAAAGGAGGCAAATTCTCTATCAAAAATAGCCAGCTGAAGAACTGCGATACCTATTATGTTTTCACAATCCACGGCCGAAGAAAAACGCAGACCATCGAGAAAAAGCTTGAGCACACCCTCGAGGAATTGTGCCATGGATGTGTAAAGAAAATGAAGATCACGAGAGGTCATCTCAAATACCGGGTACGTGGATTCTGCCTTTAGTTATACGTCCAACTCCAAATGAAATTTTTCTTCCTTTTTCTTGAATGATGACTTGGGCTTTTGCATGAAATCAGGTGACGAATCATGTTCTGTGTGTTTTCTAAAATCTATAGCTAGTTTTCTTTGCAATTTCTTTCTTTTGTTACAGTTTAATTGTAGAAGAGGAGATACTAATGATAAAAGTGAACCCAGGGTGGAAAAAGGGCACAAAGATCACCTTTGAAGGGAAGGAGACGAGAGGCCGGGAACCGTGCCAGCTGAAATAATCTTCCCCATTGATGAAAAAAGACATTCATTGTTTAAACGTGAAGGTGACGATCTGGAGCTAGGAGTTGAGGTCCCTTCGATTCAGGCCGTGACAGGTTGCACAATTTCTGTCCCTCTGTTAGGAGGAGGTGACATGACACTGTCACTAGATGATATAATATACGCTGGATATGAAAAGCTCGTACCTGGACAAGGCATGCCTAAAACCAAAGAAGATGGTAGAAGAGGAGACTTTTGCCTCAAATTTCTGGTTGAATTACCAACAGAATTGCCAATGCACAACGCATAGAAGTAGTTAGCATTTTACAAGAATGTTTTTGAGCACTGAATTCTCTTTTTCTTCAAGCCTTAACACAGAATTTTGATTGCAGTTGGTAGAATTATGTATGTGCATTATTACTTCAGCAGGTTTCTAATGTATAATGATCTGTACGCATGCATCCCAGAGATAATTAATAGAGAAATTTTAGAGTGATCTCTGTAATTTAAGCCTGCCAGAAATTTCTTTACAAGAAATTGGCCACAACTCAAGGAAACAAATGTTAGAATGCTGTTCAAACTGATGTTCTGCGTCTCAAACGCAAATAATTACTCATTTAAAAAACTAACTGCTAAAGTAAACAATTAGGAACTTGAAATGAATATTTTGTATGAAAAACGAACCAACACATAAACGGGTATAAAACAATCCATCACATTTTTTTATCAGTCTGTCTCAAATCAATCCCTTGTTTCCTTACAAACTATTTTTCACTTTTCACACAAATCACTATCTCAGTTTGATATTTCTGCACATTAAAAGTTAGATATACAATAAGGTTTGTCATACATTTACGGTGTGTCTCACCTAAAGAGAATTGAAATGCACAATTCTCAGCAGATCAGCTGCTCGAACGGCCATTGGGCAACTGAATCAGAAGTCTTTAGTCCGGGAACATTATGATGGTGGAAGTTGTTCTCTTAGAAAGGGAACTTCCACTAGCTTACCGACAACATTATCCCCAACGATCACCGTGTCTCCTCCTGAAGCCGCTTTCCTCTTGACATAGCCTAACCCAAAAGGCTCAGATGCTTTTCTACCAGCGGTGAAGCTTGTCAGTTTGCCAACCTGCACAATATTATATGGATTGGTCATCAGCCTTGAAAAGGTCAACAAAATTCAGATCACATTATAGCGAACAATAATAGGTGCCAATCTAGGATAGTCTTTTCCTTTTACTGAGTATGAACAATTAAGAAAGCAAAAATTCCATGCTTAAGTTATGATGGTCAGAATATGCAAAAGCCATAAAATAATTCATGTTCTTTTCTGTATTTAAGCTAGCTTTTATGGTCAATAAAACACTAAAACTACTTCTAATGATATCAACATTTTAAAAAAGAAGTAAAGGGAAACCTTTTTCCCATCAACTGTAATGAAGCTGCCTGGTTCTACTGGAGACATTAGGCGAATTCCCCACAATCTCTGCTTGATGCCGTCATAAGTTACGAGTCTAGAAATAGTCTCTTGTCCTTTGTAACATCCTGATAAAGAACTTAATTTCAAACAACCACTTCCACTCTAATTTTGTTATGAAATACCAGTCTAAGAAATCACAAAACCTTTATTTAAAGAAATAGCCCTCCAAAGACCAGCCTCCAGAACATTAAATTCATCTGTGAGTTCTTTGCCAGGAGCTGGTCTTCCTGAAGAAGTTAAGCAAGCAGGTTACAGATTTCTATACATGGAATCAAATGATAGCAAGCAAAACCTCACAATCAGAATAATAGTTAAATCATTATTTAAATTAGAATAAGAAGAATAAATAAAAAAAGTTAGAAAGTCAGGAGCCCAGGAAACATGATAAAGGATGCCAAATACTGGAAAAGGTTAACATCCACCAAGAACAGATGAGCAACATGTGAAGTCAAAATGGAACAAGAGCAATGGAGCAAAAGAGTAATAATGAAGATCCAAAACACTAACTCAAGAATTACACAACCTTGAAGAATCCTTAATGTCTCCCAAGCATTAGAGCCCATGGGGATTGCACCCTGACCTAGAAGAGCCTTCCAGATAGATTCAGCTACAGCTGGAGACATCAATAATGTAAAACCTTCTTGAGAAATAACATTTCCCACAGCCACAGTCAATGGCATTCCACTAACCTGCATTAGTAACAGGAATGAAAATTATGTATCCATAATATATATGGCTGGATAAATATAATGTGCATATAAATTTAATAAAAAATATAGCTAGTCATCCAGCATTCATCATCTAGACATAGTCTTCTCATTTAGGAGATTTGAACTGTATTTCCCAGTTATATTAGCTACTTTTGAAAAATGTGGTGATTGTGATAACAATAAAAATGATGTTGAAGTGGAGCTAAAATAAGCGCCAATCTTTGAACTGTAGAAGCTAAATCTTTTGCCATCAAGTGGCAAATGTAAAAATGTAGGTTTGTGAAATTTTGGAAAAGAGCAGGCTGCCATGTTGTAATATGCTAACTCGTGGCAAGGACAAAAACTTTAAATGAATATTCTGTGGGTCAAGATTGCATGCACTGTGACCACCAAGGTTCGATATATTAATACATAAGAATGCAGAAGCCACATAATATAGACCATTACATCATGGTTGATGAGCACAGGCCAACCTCATTGACCGATATTACTCTTTAGGGGCCTTTTTTATCCTTAATTTGTACCGAAAAGTTAGCATGCATCGTGTGTAAATTCACAATCTATAAGAAATAGTTAGAATCTCTTCAGTACTTAGTTCTGTGTGTACAAAAAGGTCAAAGTGATCAACAGCGCCATAAAAATGATAGTGTCATTTCAAGCAGCTAATCCCATCCTACTCTTTAAAGCAACTTTCCTAGCCCGTTACAGAATGCTGCATACCTACCACCTCCAAGAGGCTTCTACCAGAAACGGAGATATCTTTTTATCTGGGTCCTTGATTGTTCATCCATCCCCTCTACTAACCCAACTTCAAGCCACTCCAATCCCCAGATCAGGCACCAAGCACATAAACGGATCATTATAACTGTTCTGAGACAAAACAACACAGTGCTCCTTTTTGACAAGACCTTTACAGAGACGGCATACTGCAATCTTAATGACTGCAAAGGTGAACCTGAATTTCTTTATGGATTTTGCAGGTAATAATGCCATAAATCCTCTACAAATTTTGAATCATTGGGATTGAATGCACAACAAGTCAACCACATACGAAAAATAAATCTATTAAATAAATTATGTATGAGAATCAATTTAAAATAAGCAGAATTTTATAACTTTCCTTAAATTCATTTTGAACCAAATTTCATGGGATTCACAATGCACCTAACTGTTTTACTACGTGGCACTTTCGTCATGTTACCACGTGGGTGGTGAGATATTTGTTTGTTTTCCTTTGGGTGAATGTATCTGATGGCTTCCATTGTTTTGGGGATTGGGTCTAACTTATTCCAAGTGCCTCAGTTTGCCTATGAGAGTACATCCTGTTAGCTTCGTCGAGTTGATCCTTTTTCCTGCGAACCTCAGGGATTGGCTTTACCTGGGCGTAGTTTTAAGGATAAACGATATAAGAGCTTCGCCCTTGCGAAGTGACAAGAGCAACGCTTATTCTGCCTTTATTCCGTGGTGACGTGGCTTAGGTCGATTATGTGGTTTTCCACTTGTGCCTCTGTAGGATCATTCTATGCCATGTAGATTTAAGAAGTAACAACACTAAATTTTTCAGTACTTATCTTTTTAAGCAGAATGTGTAAATAACAACATCACAAAATGATAAAATATACAAAGGATTTCAGGTAAAGTTGGAGCAATCTAATAAATATTTTTGTCAATGTTGATGTTAATATAACGATAACCAATTCAAAATTTTTGTTTCTACAGAAAATGTGGGCACAACACCGATCCATAATGGAATGACTGCCAAAATTTACACCAGCACACACATCAAAAAAGATACGACATCTCATTAATTTCCGTCTTAGTGCAAGTTAAATGAACCTGTAAAGGTTTTGAGTGAATCAGTAAATTAGCTTACACTGTAATGTTTATGCAATGCATACGGTTGTCCGACAAGATCTCCAAGATTCAAATCCATTAGTATCTGTTTCCCAAAACACATCAGCAGAAACGAGAAAGCAGTGAGGACATTTAAGTGAATATAGAAAGTATGGATAGGTAAATCAATCACAAATTCATCAGAAAACATACTTCGCTGCTTTTAGGTCCCACTAATACAAACATGCTGGTCCGCTTAGTGATGTCTTGAATCTCTACCTTGTCTGCAAAAAATATGTAACTACGAAGGGAAATCAGTTTAGAACATGCATGCCTAAAATCAATTTAGGAAATGCTGCTTTTAGGTACACTAATACAAAATTCACACCTGTAAAACGAGTTGCACATCAAGAAAAAATTAAGATAAATGTGGACTGAGAAAAATTATGAATAATCAGTGTACAACTTTCTAGTTGTATGGACATACTTCCTAAGCATTTCAGTTATGCTTCCACAAGTCACAGGAGAGACCACCAGTGTAATTGCATTTTTCTGTAAATGTAACGTATTACTTAGAAAAAGACTTGTATATAAGATAATTACAGATACTGAAGATGCCAACTACTTTGTCACAAAATTGAAGATCAATTACCATAACCCATGCATGAGAAATGTCAATTGTTCGAGCCGTTGGTGTCACAAAAACAGTGTCACACCCCTACAAATTTCAACGATCAGCATCAAACTGAAATGAAAACTTGCCTCATGTTAAGACATAAAGGGAAACAATGGACAAACTCCTAAGAACTACCTGTCCTTCACAAAGACATTCAAAGTTTGCAGTACTTTGATTGTGAAGAAACTGAACTCGATCTTCTCCACTGACTATATCAGAATTAAACATACAAACAAAAAACAAATAAAGCGTCAAACTTCTTATCGATTAGGATACATCACTATATTTTATGTTAGTGAAATGAACTAGTCAGTGTATGGATTTTGAGTTTTTGAGAATACCGCAGCAATTTTTTTAATATTTTTATAGCAATACCAAAACATGGATTTTGTTGACATTGATAAGTGACACATAAAGCTTAAGAATCCAATAGCTTTTGTTGCATTATGTACAAAGAGGTCAAGGAAGGCAATCCCATGTCATATAACAGTTTGTCAATACAAAACATAAAACCAACCCAAGAAGTTTTATCAGTTATCACTAAGGTGACTCATGAAACATAGTTGTGATGTTAATGTTACAACAGAGTTCTGAGATGCAATCTGAACTGCGAAAACATTTTACTGAAGTTATCCACCTGAGCAGTTGAATCAAAGATATTTTTGTCTTAACTAAAATAAGGTTCTCTATCAAGCAAGGAATTCTCCAAATCTTTTGTGTAAACATCAGCATGACTTGTACTGAGGTCCAAGTCCGAGTCCTTGGCAATAATGCAATTATTCTAAATAAAAATAAGAAACAATGGAGATTTTCACATTTTGAAGGGTGAAACCATTGTGTTACCCATTAACCTTTTTTTAGT